TCCCAGAAGGGAGTTGAAGAAAGGCAGAAGAAGCAGCTCGATGAACATCGAGACAATTCCTAAAAGCTTGGCTCCGATTTAGGTTGCTCTTTCTTCGTCCTTCCTTCGTCCACAAACTGATGATGAGTTTCACCAAGGAGGGTCCTAGAGAAACAGCAAGCAACACTTCAGAAATCTGAAAGGGTAGCCATGAGGAGGATGTAAAGGAGCAAAGAAGATATCGAATTCCTCGAGCCGTCATTTACCATGACGTAGATGTAGAAACGACGAACTTTATATTCCCATGTATTCAGTCGACGACTCCAAATGAAGCAGGTCACACGGATAGAAGTAGCTGGCAATAGTCGAGTTGATCTATCAGGAACGGTGTGAGATAGATGACTTCAAATCAGTAGATCAAGCTACGTGTTAATTATGTACAGAGAAAAAGTAGATAAAGAAGGCGACTAGGAGGAGAATGTGCATTCCCTTGTCGTTTTCTAAGCCCCACATCTCGAGGGATTCAAGATACAAAGCGTTTTCTTCTCGACATTCGAAAAGAAGAAACGGAAGACGCCGACGATGAAAGAAGAAAGTTAGGACGAGAGATCACTGAAACTTGTAAATAAGTAGAGTTTGTCCGTCATGTGTTTGGACTTAGTCATTCGTTACGGATACGCGTAATTCTATTCCGAAGAAATAGAAGAGAAGAGTACATCCATATACGCGCCCATGCGCGCACATACCAGGGTCGAAGTTGGCAGCTTGGAGCCAGGTTATATTCTCTCTAATCCATAGTGTACAATTTTGAAGGCCGTCAAAAAGTACGAGGGCCCAAAATTGGATATGGCCATGCGTAATGCAGTTCTCCAAAAGAGTATAGCTCCTTGTGTAATTATGTGAATTATATGTAGAAAAACACTTATCTCCGGGAATAACTGCAAACACATATCTCAATTCAGAATTCATCCTATCTGATGTAAAGGGGAGAATGGATGCAGATGGATTCGGAACGCTGGTAACGAGATGTGGGCCCCCTTTGAAGATAAATGCTAACTCCTAGTTACGCAAATTTTAAAATGATCGAACTTCGTCGCTTTCTTCTTTTCTTTTCTTCCTGTTGAAAATTGATTTTATCCTGACTCTGATAAATTGAAGGTAATTTAGATTCTTCGATGTAGAATTTAACTAGTCCGGTGCATATATCGTTTCGAAAATAACAATATTTAATTGAAATATTTTACGCAACTGTTTGAGAGTGGTAGTGAAAATAGGGCCCACAAAATTTGGAAAATGATTAAAGGAATCCGCCGGTCAAGATTCGGCATTTGATCGTTTCCATCCTTCATCGAGCAGGGGCATAATTAGATCATAGATTTACCCTGAAAGCTTTCATCATCTTACATATCATAGAGAAAATGAGATTTTTTCGTTTCCGTATTAAAAAGATGGGCCTACGAAAGAAATTCTTAGGGTTCAATGGAGTATTAAATAGAAAGAGAGAAAAAGAAAAGAGAGATGAGTAATTAGAGACTCGAAACAAAAGATGAAAAAAAAAAAAAAATAAGAGGGCCTCTAATATTTGATAGGGAAACTAGCCGCGTTTCGAAACAAACGAGAAACACGCTTTTTAGGATTAGTCGCAGCTTTGACCTAGCCCCTAAAAAATGTAACTAAAATGCACTGTTTAACGTGCACCATGAAATTCTTTCCTTTTCCTTAATTCTCGCAAGCTTTCTTCTCAAACTTTAATATCTTCAACCAAAAGACTTTGCGAATTATTTATAGAACATTCGTTGAGGTTAATTGAATCGTCAGAATGATCAATTCAATCTTATGCCTTCTTTTCTATATGTATTAATTAAAAAGTGAACACTATCGATTTCTTTTGTTTCTCATAAAAAAGAAACTAGATTGAGGTTATATTACATATCTCGAGCGTCTGTTCTACTTTAGTAATCATTTCGTTAGAATTACGAACGATAATGAGGGAAAAGGATCTGATGCAGCTCATCGAATCATTCAGTTTTCCAACATATCCATGTTCTGACCTCGTATTTTCATAAATCAAGATATACGACATACACATCCCCATCTATAAAATTCATCGATAAATTATTTTCATAGTCAAGCCAATCTACATCGATCTCACGCTGTCCTTATTCGATACTACAGTATTATAAACATTCGAATTCTTTCTCCCTTTTTCATATTTCTCATGAATCGTATTTGTCATGAATCATTTGTACAAATGAATTTTTTAGAGTGCGAATGAGTGATAATTGTCAGTCCTTTCACATGAGGGGTTTTTTCTTCTGATATCGTTTATCGAAACACTCCTATTGCTTTCGAATTGTTTGACAATAATCGTGACTGATGAATACTTAGAACGATAATTATCGAACTCAAAAACTTCATAGGGGAAAAGTACCCGTAAAAAAAAAAAAAAAAAAAAAAAAAAGAATAGGAATAATGATAAAAACTGAGTATTAATTATTAATTATTAATATACGCGCATTAGAACTGAATCACGTGTGAAGGGGTAAACACTAAGGCAAGTTTGTATTTTAGCAGATGATTTTATTTAGTTTCAAGTTAGTTGACAACTTTGTAATATTTCTATTATGATTTATACGAGTTTATATTTCATATAAGTCTCTATGTAAACGTGTACATATAATCAGCACTTACGTCATTGAGTCTCCACGCGTAATATCACTGTGAATCATTGTCAGGTGGAGAGAAAGAAAGAGAAAGATTAAGAAGCTTACGATTATTTAGAGAGGAGCCTATGAGTCTCTCTGTTAACGGAAATAGCGTGAACGAGTAATTGCAATTCACTTGTTGTATCATACACCTTAGTTGGAAAAATCGGTTGCGTGTTGTTCATTATTATACATAAGATATTATCACGAGAAGAAAATAAATGTTAATCTGATCCTAATGAAACTGCAGTTTATGATTTGTTTGAATAAAAGACGTACTTGATGAAGTTAACAAAAATTCACCAGGCTTTTCAGTTCCTACTTCTTAAGTTCTCGTTAAGTGTAACCCAACATGCAACCAACTTCTCCAAGGATACTTTTAACATCTATAAAGAATGATTGTGAACTGTCGCGAGAGTAGGTGAAAACGTGACGAAACGTGCGTGCGTGCGTCTGAATGGTAGGACAAAAGCAAAAAGATGATACGAAGAAGCCAGGCGATTAAATCGCTAAGAGAATTGAAAATTCTAAGTCTATAAATATATTTACAAAATCGAGTGCATCGTATTGCGTATATAAGAGACAACAAGAATGACGAAGTGAAATAATAAACAAACGAAGAAAACAGTGCTTGAATGTTGGTGAATGTGAGGTTAAGAGGTTATACGAATGAACAGGAAACGGATAATGAAATAATGTCGAGATATAAATAGTATAGTTAACAAGAAACTAAATGGTATAAATAATAATTTTAGAAAAAACAAGTAAAAATGGCAGCGAAGATACGAGAAGGGAAATAGAAAAGAGAAGATAGGACAATGATACGAGCAAGGGACGAGTATCCTATCAATATCTGCGCAACAAAAAAGAAAATAAATGCATATATCATAGATCAGATGATTCAAATTGGAATTTCTGAAATCGATTGATCGATCCTTCAATCGAAATTACTAAACAATCCAAAAGACAAATATGGGTATGTAAGGTATGACTAAAAGTGTGAGTGAGTAAGCAAAAATGAGATTGCAAGTATGAAAAGAAGGAATATATATACAAACATACACACACAAACACACACTCACAACACATATACGCGCGCACGCGTGAGACAGGAAAGAAAAAAAATATATATATATAAATTATACATATTAAAAATGAGGAAGAAAAGACAACTATCGTTGATCGCTATACCAAACAAGTATATATAAGCAAATATATATACATATATATACATAGCATACAAACGTGTATGTATATATATGTATATAAAAAAAATATATATTGTAGCATGTCGGTATGATTAATTACAAATTGTAAGTAAGCGTCGCAGCGCGCCTATACTAAAGACGCCCATTGACCGCTCATGCGAACCAGAGATCAACTATGAAAAAAAAAAAAAGAAATATCTATATGGGTGTAAACGTAAAGAATAGCGACAGAGACGGAAAGTAGATGAAAATGCGTGTTTTATACGTGACAGTGTCAATTGTAAATGCGTTCGGTTTCTTACGGACTTCTTTGTCTAGGGATATTTTTCTAAACGTTGAAGATCACATATGAAACTAGATTTTTAGTTTCCAATAGAAGATTCATTGACAGAATCGCTCAACATTTTTAAGTGAATTTTGTCTGCATCAAAAATGTTATTAAATATTTCCATACTTCTTTTTCTTTTCTGAGTATTGGTAAAACCGGACGCACTCCAGGAAAGTGTAAAAACACAGTACACAGCGGATACAAGTAAAACAACTTGAACACCAAAGCGAAATGGAATTTCCTGCAATATGACGTAGTTTAGATCAATTATGGAAGTTCTTGGTAGTTAGGAATTATAAAATATTCGTATTCTTCGCTGTTTTCGCGTGTCACGCGTATTCGTTTATCCGAGTCACTTTGAGGTCTTCATAGTAACGAACGTTCTCACGATAGAAATAGGAATAAAATGAAAAATCACTATGAAATAGATCAGAAGTCTGTTCTCGTCTTATATTACGTTCAGTGTATTCACACGTGAGCGTAAGTTTAGGCCAGGCACGATGGGTGAAAGAGAATTTCCGCTTTTGAGGACTGACTTTTTTTATGTCGTTCTAAATAAATAATAATTGTAATAATAAAGGTAATGATAACAATAATAATATTAATAGTAATATCGATAACGATAATATAAAAATAATAATAATAATAACGATGTGCGTTCGAATTGCTAATTTTAATTATTAGTAATAGTAATATTAATATTAATAATAATTATAATAATAATAATATTAATAACATACGTATTTTAAGGCACATTTTCACCCAGCGCGTTTGGCCATGGTATCTTGTTTTTCATTGTTTATGGAAAAAGATTTATCGCGTCGCAACGTTGTTAATCTCGACGACGATCGATGTTAATTAATGATTGAGAGAATTATCCATAGTAGTGTCTGGAGGAAATATGGAAATAAACCCTTCATACTCGAACATCCAATTACAACGATCATTCCGATTTTCTTTTTGCGTTTTGCAGTGCAAGCGAGTGTACAGAGTTGTCTAGGGGAAATAAAAACATATGGAATTCCTCGAGTTAGTAGATATTACGTACAAATAATTAATATGAATATATTAACGACGTAGGTAAAAAGTGGTTCGAGTGAGAAGGGTTGATTAATTACTAATTAACCGGGAATCGGTTAAGCTGGAGACCACGCTTTATTTTTGTTTAGTATTACGGCGTGTAGGTTGCCAATGTATCGATAATACTGTAAGAGAAATTTGATTAATTTCAAGCCAACGAAATATTTCAAATTCTAGAAATATCTACTTTTATTCTCGGTAGTATAAATAGTTACCAAAGATAGAACCTTAAATCTAGAAAATTTTAAGTATGCAATATTTTCTATTGTAGTTACTAATTCTACTATCGATCATAGGTTGGCAACCAATGCGTCATGAATGATGCTTGATAGCGAATTGATAAATGTCGCGCAAGTAAAAAAAAAAAAATCGTAAAAAGTAGGGTTCTAACGTCGCTGATTCCGGTGATATTTTAGTCAGTGTTAAGTCCACACTAATCCAAGGGGAAGGATCGACAGTGTACGCGATTGTCGGTCGGATTATAAATCAACAGTAGACATATAGTAGAGCGTAACAATTTCAGAGAGGTAGTACTACCGTTGTTCCGTTAATTGTTTTAATAGATTTTATTGTGCCGTGACCGCATCGCGTGCTCTTGCTAAATTTTCGTTTTATTGCTGAGAGGTAATAATAAATATTTGATTAATTAACAAATAATCCGATGTGCTTGTTACATATTTGTATTTACCCAATGTTGTTTTGTTCGTGCGAAGAATGTTTGAATCTTTGATTTGCTACGATATTTGAAGGTGCACCATAAATATCCCGTGGAAAATAATTGAGGAGATCAACAGAGTTCGTAATAAAAAGTTTATAAATCTCTTTTCGTAATTTGGAAAAGATTATTATTTCTAAATCATGAAAACACAACGGGAAATATAGTTAATTAAATGATCTTCTAGAGTATTTTCCACGTACGTATGAATTATTTAATATTTCCTGTTTCTAATTGAAACCGTAATTAAATATTACCGTAGATTTAATTTTTATTATTCTATATTCAATATTTAATCAAAATTTGCATCTGCAGAAACTATAGAATTAACTAAAAATACAATGAGAATCAAATGTGAATTTTAATTAAATATTGCACGTAAGACTTTTTTATGTAAATGAATTTTTAGTTGCCTCAAGGAATTATTCTTTCAGGGAAATAATGATTCAGGTACGCCAACTGTTAAATAGAAATATTATACATAAGTTGGTATGATGGGCAGGTGATTAGATCAGATTCAGTAACCTGAAAGAATAAATTCCCTAGGAAGATTAATATCGATCTTTCAAAGTGCAAATTTATAGATTTTGTATTCCCAATAACATCCAAAAAGAATAATTGCGAGGCCACACGGGACGCGGCCACGCCTAGCCATGACTATTTTTCTAAGTTGCAAATCATAATAAATTAAGGATGTTGCATTATCGTTATTAGAGTATATTATAATGTACATTGATATTTTAACTAGCCGAGTAAGTATGAAAAATGTTACAAGCGTAGTAAACAAACTGCATATAATATACATATACATATGTAGATACCTTAGTTGCGTCAACTATCAACTAATCGTGCCGGTTCGCACTTGAGGTCGGTGCCCGCGCGCGCACTGCGACGTGCCCATTAGCCTGATATACTAACTAAAATTGAAACGCGAAAATAAAGGGAAAACGGCGATTAAGAGATCATGAAATACGATTTTTTGAGGTCAAGACACTTTGAGTTCCAGCATCGGTTGATTCGCAGTTGAGGAAGTACAACGGACGTGTTAATGATGGAAAACAATATCCTAAATGTGCGTAGTACACGAAGCTGGAACGTCGTTAATGAGCGAATGTATGATTGAATTGCATAAATGAGTATATATGAATGGAAAAATACAATTGTGGTGTCGGTCTTTGACTAGAAAACAAAGAGAATTAAAAATATGAATCGTTCTGTCTGTCACCTCACGTATATTACACAATGTCATATTACTATGCTGCCATATGATATATGTCTACAGTAAGGAATATATTACTAAAACATTATAAATAAATATGTTATAAGTAATTACCTTGTGATCAAATTCCTCAAATTCAAGGAGTTAATTTTTTTTTCAATTTCTTTATTTACAGTACAATACAGTATAGTTCAGTTATATGCAATGACACAATATAATTAAATATTTATAAATATGAAAGTTAATATTTTTTAGTCATACAGTTTTAAATAAAGAGAAATTCTATGTAGGAACAAGAAATAATTTTTAATTTCCTGTTTTATGCTAGACTATATTGATATAAATTAAAAAATATTTCACGAATAATATTTTAAATGATTAAACAGTTCTATAGTTTGTCCAACTAGTGAAACATAATTCAGTGATTGATGGCGCTTTAAGAGGGAGGATGACTGCTCGTTGTAATTTAACATAACCTTACTTTTGCAATATTTAAAATCTTTTGAAATATAAAAAAAAATGTGTGAAGTGTATATTATATTTTTATATACTTCGTGATTATTATCGATTTATTCAGTTTTTAAACTTCCTTAAACTGCAATTGTTTAAATATATAAGTCTATATTTCGAGGTTATGAATGTGTTTCGTGTATTGTTTATAACAAAGTACATTTTTATTTTAACTGTATGTAAAATGAAAGTATGAACTTATGTTAACTAATTGAATAACTTAACGTTTTCATAACTTTCTATTTATTTTTCACACTTACAGATATTTTTATTGTCTGTAACATATACAACTTATGTTTTATTATGAAGCGACGTCAAAGAAGGCCTGTATTAGAACTTAATCAGTCGCAATCCAGTTCTCACGCGGAACATTTACAAAGTAAAGATATAATAATAAAAATCTTAGTTATTATATTATAAATATTTCTAGATATTATTAGAATGTTCGAAAGGTGCATGTAATTAGAAAATTTTACATAGTCAGTAACATTTTGTGATATATATTTTAATTTATTAATAAAAAGAAACAAAATATCTTTGTTAATAGAAATTTGTATAGGAATTGGAATCTTATATAATGTCTTTTTAATATCTATTGTAGACAAACGTAAGCATATAAATAATGATTACCTTGGCCAAAATATACCTGCAAATCCTCTGGCAAATTTACTTTGTCATTATAATTCAGATAGTGATACTGAAGACTCTAAAAAGGATTGTAAATTAGATGATCAAGTTAATAATTTTTTTAAGGTAAGTAATATTTTTATGATCATGATTTATTAAAAAAAGGTTAGAAGATACAAAATATTTGAAATTTTGTAGGAAATTCAACTGATTGCACCAAAACAGCCAATCTCTAATGAATCTAGCAATATTGCCTTAACTGCAAACTCTAATACACACTTAGGAGAATACACAAATCAACAAGCACTTAGTAAGATTTTATTGTATTTTATAATGCATAAAATATCTTTTCACAACTTGTTGTTTAATCAATATTTTTTTTAGTGTGGAGAGAATGTTTAGACGAATCTACTGGTTACCCTTACTATTGGCATATTGAAACTAATGAAGTAACATGGGAAATGCCAGATGAATTACGGTACTTAAAAAACAGTGTTAAAACAAACTCTATTATAAAACCACTTTCAATACAAGAATCTCATTGGGTTGATTTTTCATCTGTAACATGTAATTAAATTTTCATGGACTTTTGTTTTTTTTTTAAATATTTATAAATTTTTTAAGTATACAATATTTTTAGATCAACAATCTCATGAAAATATACCAGAAGGCATGATACCAAGAGAAGTAGTAGCTCGAAATCGTAACAGGTACATTTGTAATGAAACTGTTTTAAAGCAGGAATCACAAACCGATCAAGATACTGCTAATATGTCTGATACTATGGATAATGATTCTGATGATGGGTATATTGCTATAACATTAATTTAATTTAATTTAAGTTTAATAAGCTTTTCAAAAAAGTAATTTAATTATGTAGGAAAATAGAAATGATTACATCGTATGGAAGTGATGAAAGTGACTCAGATACAGTAGATGAGAATCGATTAAAAAGTGATGTATCTTGCATAATAGAATCGAAAAACAAAAATTCTGCACAAAAATTAAGATGTAGTGAAAAATGCAGTTTGCCAACTTCTATAGTGCAATCACAGTTACGAATAATTTCTCAAAATATAAATCAAAAATATGAAAACAAAGACAATGTAGAAGAATCAATTATAGAATCACTAAATTCAAAATCAACTGAAAATACAGAGATGAAGTACTTAAAAAATCAAATGAAGCAACAAAATAATATTCAAGAGACAAACGAATGTTCAGACAAAGCTAACAGTAGTACTCAATTGACAAAAGAATCCACAACAAAGAAAAGCATTAGCAAACACAGTGTTGACTCTGACATAGATTTTCGCATTTCTTTAGTACCCGGTTATGATGAAGATTCAGATATTGAAGAAGATTCTGAAATTAAACAAGAACGGAAAGCCTTATTTCCAATTCCCCAAATTGAAGAAACAGTAGAAAGTGTATTATCACGTAAAACTATAGTTGACGATGATCGAACAGCAGACAGTAATGACAGTGATATTAATAATGAAAGAAAAAACGTATTAGAACAAGATACTGAAGATATACTGGAAAGGTTGGAATGCAAAGATGACTCGAGTGTTAAGTCAGAGGGAGATACGCAAAAGGGAAACAAATTTGTCGATAATATGCATGGACGAAATAAATTCTTTCAAAGAAAAAAACGAATTGCATTCGATGGTAAGTGTATTTTACAACTTAATGGATTTATGTAAATTCAATTTAAATGTATTTTTTTTTTCTTTTTTTTCAGTTCCATCTACAAAAATGAAAGTAAATGATGATAATGAAGCTAGTAAACTGGAAGTAGAAATTCAGCAAGAGGAAGTGAATTCTTGCATTGAACATCTAATTGAACCTCAGGTTGATCACCAAGAAGAATCTAATTCTGTAAACGAGAACGCGAAAGAAAATCCCACAAATTTCAAAGATGAATCGAATAATACTGTAGAAGAAATGAATATACCAGAAACAAATGATGAATCTAAGGAATCTGAAGGAGACGTTAATCTACTATCACAAATCATACTTGAGAAACTGAAGTTTCTATCGGAAGGGAAATCGGGTGTATCGCCAGTTCAATTGATGTCTATTCAGTTACAGGTAAATGAAATTCTCTTTTACTTTATTATAAAAGGTCAACATAATTTAAAGTTAATAAATGATATTTATTACAAAACTTTGTATTTCAGACACTGTTTGTCGCATGGGAAGCAGGTTGTTTAGAAAAGAATTACTTGCGTAGATGGTTGAGTGACACCAGTCACGAATTGGAACGCTTGGAACAAGATGCCACACCACCTGGATGGCTATGTCAGTGGGATAGGTATAGTATACCATCTAAAATTTGTGTATTATTTCATATAAATAAACATGAATCGTACCATACAAGCTATCGTGTATGTTATACACGTCATTATTCTAAAAATCTTTAAATCATGTAATCTTTGCACATGTCATTACAGCGAGATACTTAAACATGATAATAAGTGGTAATTCAAAGCTTTTTATTTCAAAGTAATTTTCTTCCCAAAATCATCTTGAATTTAAAAAAAATATTTTTTCGAACTTTTTTTTAATTCTACATATAATTCGTAGTAATGTTTAAAAAATTCAACAGAAAAAATGAAACTTAATCAATTTGATTTTATCAATTTCAGAGTAAAACATTATGAAATTCTTTATAAAGTTTTTAGGATCATTAATTTTACTTACATCCTTTAGGGGATAGTATTTATATTAAATTTAAATTTATTGAAATTGTACATAAATGTGCGAAAGATGTCGCGTTATTTTAAACAATAATAAAAAGATAGGTCTCTGATCAGAGTGGAGCCTCAAAGACCATATGTGCATTATGTATCTAACTCTATGAATGAAGAACATATGGAAGAATTAACAAATAGTAAATGCATCGTTAGTAACTTAAACTACTAGAAGATTATATTATTCAACATATTCGGATACATCAAGAAATTAAACTTCGAAGTAACAAGAGCTGAAAACTATTCTTGGCTGAATGAAGAAATAGAAACCATATCAAACTATGGTACAAGTGGATGAAATGGTTAGTTAAAAAGAAACTTATGAAATCTGAGGGATATTGAAAAAATATTTTATACCATGTGAATGTTAAAAAGGCTGCTCAATAACTTGAAGGGATAGGTGAAAATGAGAAGAGTTATTGCTGGAAGAAAATATTAAGTGTTAAAAGAAGTTTATATCGTTAATTCAAGGTCTTGGATGAAATCACATGAAGAAATTTGGAATCTAACGAAACTACATTCATCAAAAAAATTTATTCAGTTATTGGAAGTTAAAAAAAGCTGTTAGTCAAGCATCAAAGTATCAATTCGTGTAGACAGTCATAACATATATGTCATGCGAAGTTTTTCTTTCCTGCGTTACATTCTATGTACATATTTTTAATGTCATATATATACACCATTTGTTCCTTTTTGTTCAAAAAGTACAATCCTTGAAAAATTGTATCTCCATTATATTTAACAATTTGTTCAAATGTGATGATTTAAAGACATTTTCCTTGGTTCCTCAACGAGTGCACGTCGTCGTATATCTTCAAAAATCCATATCTTCCGGCCCTTGTGCCCTTAGTTACACGCATAATCAATTCGCTTAATATTTCGCTAGCGTAACGCAGACGTTGTCGACGTAATTCTCAATGTTCGTGTTGCGGAAGACAGCGCCTTCTATGTAACCGCTAAGTAACACTTAATCCTTTTGTAATAAAAGGGCCTCGCTGACTTAATGGCACGCCGAGTTGCAGGTAGGAGTATTAACTGATTGTTTTCTAGCTAATAAGTTGCTTCAGAACTCAGGAGAACGTTCCTTTCATGGAGTAACGTCTCTCCAAAGTTTCTCAATGTAAAAAAAAAACTATGCAAGTAAGCCATTTTTATTCATCATTATGCTATATCTTTCTGTGGGCTTTTTTCCAGGTCGCATAAGCGATATTATTACCAGAACACTACTACCGGAATTACACAATGGACCTATCCAGATACTGGCATCGCCGGTGGCGCTGAAGAGATGGAAATTTGTTCCACACCTCCTCCAGCAGAACAGGAAGAAATTATTATACCTGGTATAATGATACATCACTACTTAAAACGAACTATTAATGATTAATGTGTTTCTTTCTAACAGCTGAAGAAGAAGGACTGAGATCAAAATCGAAAAAGTCGCAAGAAGGTGGTGAAATAACTCAAGACATGACGGTTCCAAGGAACACTGATATAGAAGCTCCACCTCCACCACAAATTTCAAATCCTAGCCCACCACCACCACCAAGAATCTATGCAGAAGATTTGAAGAGGGACAAGAGGAAACAAGATAAATGCAGTGACAAGTTGGATGATAAAACACAAGGACTGGGAGAAGGTGCGTCTTTATTAAATAAATTTCTTTTCTTTATAACAAAATATCTTAGATTTAATTTGATATATTTTCTTATGTAGAGGGTACAATAATCACGGAAATGAAACAACTAGAAAATTCTGTTGCACCAACTGCTGCCTTATTGTCGTCTCAGCCCTCTAATCTTGCAAATATGAACAATGCAGAACCTCTACCACCAGGTGTGGATTTAACAGAAGCACCTTACGAAATACCTGCGACTGCTTTGAAAAGAATCATATACAGTGCTGTGCAACCACAAGGTGGTGCATTATATGATGCAACTGCGAGAGATCCAACAGTTCCTATTCTAAGTCATCCGGCAGCTATAGTACAAGAACATTATCTTCAGTATCCAGCATATCATCAACACTTACATCCTGTGTGTTATCAAACAAACTAATACCGTTTAATCAGTTACTTCAGTAATTAATTTTGTTATATTTATTGTTGAATAGCCAGCGGCCTTAGTACTTCCACATAAGCATAGTGTTCAGCCTGCAATTCAACTAATACCTGACTATACTCCAATATACACAAATCATAAGGTCATTGAAAAGCCACCAGTTAAAACAGCAAAGGAATCTCTGGTGTCTGCATTAGATTCATTTTACAATGATATTGCACGTATAGAAAATGTTAAAACGGAGAAAGTTCCTCAGAGACAAGATACAGCAACTACGGAACCACCTTCCCTACCAACAGAAGAAGTAAAAATGGAAACAGAACAAGAATCTACACTTATTGAAACCATTGTAAAAGAAAAGAAGAGAAAAAGGGTAAAATATTACAATGAAAGAAATAAAATTAATTTTTGTATACACTAAGAAAATATTAAAATTATATTATGTCATGATTTTAGACGAGAATTGGTATTAGTAAAAAACATAAAGAGGTATCTAGTATGGTGGCAAAATGGCAAAAAGTGCAACAAAATTTCGAAAATACGTAAATTGGTTAGTTAATATTTTAATAATATCCTTTTTTTAAAGTAAGTATTTTATATGTAAAATTTAAAGTATTATTTCCAACAGCAACTTCGCGATATTTAAATCATTGGACGCAAATAGCGCACTGTACTCCCACCAGTATAGTGTTCCTGTACCTGCAATTAACATAATTATTTTGCGTTCTCTTTTCTATTTTTAAAATCTAACGAACCTAATATATAAATCGGTAGGTTTTGAAAATGTAAATTTCAAAAGCTTTTTGAAACATTAAGGTATATGACTTTTTTTATCATTACAAAATACCGGCTGATCACTTTTAATGCTCATCAACTGTGAAAAATATAACATTATCGCGATTTATAAGCATTTGGAATAAAAAGAAATATTGTAATTTAACAATATTCAATTTCACTGTCTCTGTATAATTAGGTTTACATTATGTTTTGAGCATTTAGGTTTTTATTAACCTTAATTGAATTGCTAAAAAAAAACGTATTCTCAGAGTTATAGATTTAGAATTAATTATCTACTTTTAAAGTGATCAAAAAATGGAGACTACTTATTTATTTAAGATTATATAATTTCTTTCAAAAGCGAATTAAAAAATATAACACTACAACCATATTTATGCATCTCCATAATATTTGAGAATTTAAAAACAGCTACGCAATATTCAATATCATTGCAGAAATTTATTTATATTATATGCATTACAACATTCTTTTTGTAATCATATGTACATCTTGTAACAAAATAATAAGATACCCGAAAATTTTTAATGTTTCTAAAAGTCAATAGAATCTAAGAAAATATTATATAAATCTATATATATATATAAATTATTCCTTTCCGAGTAACATGGATCGATCGCTGATTCTATTCTTATATAGGTGTTTAAGTTGTTAATATGAAAATAAATAGAATCAATAATAATAAACGAAAATAATAATGAAAATAATAGGATGATAATTTACATACAAACTTTAATTAATTTTACAAAAAAATTATACTTCATTATGCAACTAACTAATTTTTCCATTTTCCTTTGTATTCATTAATTTCTAACATATATTTAAATAATGACTTGTGTACAAATTTTATAAATTTTTACCACAATTTTAGTATCAACTTCTATTTTTATTGCTATTTTTAAATCATTTATTAAATTAAACCATTTTTCATGAGTATTTAAACTTTATGTTAGATTCCAAATATTTCTTACGTATATGTTTGAATCAGAAAATCTAAATGGATATACTAAGAAAATTATATTAGTCATGCAATGATAATTTTCAGTAACTCCTGTTGGACATTTAAATGTGTTATGTTGAAAAATAAACAAATATTCAGCAGAACATGACTACTACTATTTTAAATTAAAAATGATTTTCTTTTTAACATTACTCAGTCATTTCCCATATCCTATTTTATGATTGATACTTAATAGTATACTTATTAGTATATTAACCATTTTACAAAAACTTCAATATCGCTCCTTTAACTGTTTTATTTTCATACTTGGATTTTTCATTATCATTTGATTTTCAAGTCCATAGTTCACAAAGTAAATTTTTAGAAAACAGCATAAATAGTGATTAAAATTTTTCATGTTACTAAGAAAAGGACAATTTATAAGTGAATCTATATAAAATTTTCTTAGCCTGCTCTAGATTTTCTTATTACTTAATTGCAAAGTGTATATATATGTATATATCATTAATAAAAAAAACAGTAATAAATAATATATTGATATAACCCAGGTTTTCCTGTAAAATTATGTATAAATCCATAAAACATACAATTGTTTGTCTAATTTTTTTTTAAATATAACTTTCGAGCCTGAAGTTTAAGTATATCATATTTCGTAATTATTAAGTAGCTGTACAATAAAAATAAATAATAAAAAATACATTATGTACTGTTTCTAGTGAAAAGTATTAATATATTTCTAATTTTAGAACATAAGTTATTCCTATATTTAATTTCATATTCTGTATGCAAATATTTTTTTCTTTTTTTATTACACATTTTAATTGGTTAAACATTTTTTCTCTATGACAAAATTTTTAATAATATTAAAACATTTAAGCTATTATATCCTTTTGGAAATTTCCTGTATGTATATAGTTTTCATACTAATAAACGAAAAAATTGATACTTTATTGATAACAAAAACTGTACATCAGAGTTGTTAAACTTAGTCCCCGTTGTATTACTTTTAACACTGTTCTAGGCCGCCTCTCATCATCTAGTCAGTTCTTCTACCTAGAGCTAGAAAATATACTTTTCGTCGCTGCTAAATACACTGATCTCGTCATTATTCTGATAATATCCCTTAACATTTGTACAAGAGTCAAGTGAATATGGTAGGTGTGATAACATGATAGGGACAGAAGCAGTATGTGACCTGTGGGGTATGAGTTCAGTAACTCTATGCGCAAAGGTGTAGTGTGCATATGTATGTACATGTGTATAAGTACATATATTGTAATTATTTAAAAGTTTTTGTTTAAATAAGCATAATTTTTTTAATTAAATTAGATATTTTAAATTCATCTACATTTTTTAGCAAAACTATCTGAAACAAGGTTATATAATCTAAAGTTAATTTGAGTATCACAAAGAGACAATGAGTGTATTAAATGTTAATGATAAACGACCCGTATCTAGTTTCAGAAAGAAGTTGAAACATGATCAAGCTGCGTACAATCCTTGTATAGAGGTACAAAAGACAAAATACAAAAATTAAAATTTAATAAATTTAATAAGTGTCTATTACATAAAGATTAAATTACTTAACGATATAAAACAACATTGTTTTTCACTTTTCAGGAATATAATAGCAGTTTGAAATGTTTAGAGAAAAATCATTATGAACGTAACAAATGTACTGAACAATTCGTCAATTATAGAAAATGTAACAAAATTTGGGTAATTTTATTTATATAATTATTAGTTGTAAATACCATATTTTTAAAACATTACGTGTACATAATTATTCTTTTAGAGAAAAATAATAACCATTCGACGAGAGAAAGATATAAAACCCGTTATACCTGCACCCGAAGAACGAGCGAAAGTAAAAAATGAATTTTTAGAATCTGAAAACATGTAATATTGCTTTTCAATTGTGAACAAATGTTACGTTTTCTATATAATTTTATAGTAGATGTGTATCATTAACAATTATAAAATAACTTTTATTATAGTCCTAAAAATATGTAAAAATTGTATTCTTAAAGTTTTATATTTGTTTTCATAATTACAAATACTTATAGTTATAAAATAAATTAAACATTAAACTGTTTTTTGTACTTTTAATTGTGTTATAAATACATTAAAAATATATAAATAAAATGTGTATAACTTTCTGGAATAAACGAAATACAGTGTACGTAAAATTTTCGTTTTTAATATCTTTGGCAGAAACAAACGTTTGAGGAATAATATGTTATTAAACACGATGAATTATAAACAATACAAATGTATAGACAACTAGTGCATTATTACATCAGAAATTTAAATACCTAAGGAGTACTTTACAATAGGTTATATAGTTTTCATTGACTACTATTTGTACAAGTACATCCATATAACCTTAATAGTTAGAAAAGTTAGCATTCTAGAATTACTATATGTTATTAAATATTCACTAAATTCTATTTGGGCTAATACGTACGTATGTATGTACGTATGTGTATATATATACATACAAATATGTATATGCATACACATACATGTACTAAAGCTTCAAAGCTCATTAGTCCTATGAACATTCAACTCTTTTTAAGATCTCAAACGAATTCTTGAATTTGTTTTCTTTTTACAAATTATAATGCGTTATATGTCCTAAAATGTGTTCTTAAAATTAGCGTATTTATAATGTGAAGGAAACTAGTTACATATTAAATGCAGTAATACAAAATTTAACTGGTACACTTTCATTCAAAACTTTGTGATTCAGTTTTAACACGTAGTGTCAATAAAAACTTAAAAATTATTAATAATATTTATTCTTAAATATTCGATTTATTGAACTTTGAAAGAAGGGTCGTATTTTACTAATACAACGTGAGTAATAATATTTGACATTGAATATATGTTATTTTCTAACTTAAAAGTCAGATTATTAATTTTTGTTCATAATATTCTCAGAATCCAAAACTAATTAAATTATTGGTTACTATTTATATAATCTACATCCTCAACTTTTGTAATTGTCGACGTATTTTGTAGTCGAGAATTGTAATGACTAATTAAAATTAACGATAAAAAAAACTAATCGTTGTATGACTTCCACGTTAATAGAACATTTATACACTTCGTGATTTTGTATGTTTTCACATGTTGCAAACTAATACACAATATAATGTAATTTTGTATGTGTATGTAAATATCATATCTTCACATATCTGTTCAAATAATTTTTGTTCCATGATAGATACATAAATTTCCTTAGTTACTAATAGATTTTTTTAATTAATTTGATTAACTTCTTTAATCTAAAATAAAATCTATTGATTCAACGTTATCAATGTCTCTGTTGATGTACGACGTTTCATGTATTATTAACAAAAGTTCTTTGTTTTAAGGAGCCAATTATCATAATATAATATACACATGCATTCTTATATAAAATAAATAATGTGTCTTGCACGTATCTTATTACAGCATACAATATTACATCCGTAACATTACATTCTTTTTTATCCATATCAAAGTTTACTATTCTGACTTGCTCAGAGTCTTCACACATTGTGAAAACCTTTTCATTTAGAAATTATTTGAGATAAAGGAAACATTTCTGAACAAATTTTTAAAAATTCAGAAAATTTAAGAATACGATTTTAAATTTTTATACAGAAAAGAAAAAAATATTTATTTCGCGAAAAAACTGAGCAAGCTGAACTAATCTCATTTATCAGACAATACACGTTAAAAGCGAAGAATTCAATGAGCTACAGCTAGAAGCATGTTGGAAAATAAATGCTCTGTACATAGTCAGAGTTACGAACAGGACACAAAAAGACAATACAGAAATTAACTATGCAACTACTTTGAGAGTTAACCCCTTGCCTTACTATTTAAGCTCTAACAGCGTGTATTAATCAATAGCACAATCGGTCACACGTTGAGCCACTTGGTCCGAACATGGCTGAGAATAACACGTAACTGAGACGGAAAGACATCGACGAAAATGAACCACGAGCTTGACCCGAGTTGTTTACGTTGAGATTTATCTACAAACCACATTACTCACTCGTGATACTCATATTTAGCCGGAATTCCATACCACGAGTCTCACACGATATTGTAGGCGAAAGTGTTAACTACATAAAGTTAATCGAGCATTCAAAAAAATAGATATCAAAAAAAATTATTAATGATTCTGTAACTATATCACAGCAACATGAAATTTAAATGTCTGCTTCTGCAACTGAATAAATAAGATTACTTAACAGGTACTCTCTGTTTGGATATATAATCAGCGACGATTACATGCTCGAATGAATTGTCATTATTTGTTGTCCAATATTTGAGTATTCATAGATGAGACTTTTTTGTTTCTTCTTGTCATCAATTATAATTCCATATTTTTTTTTCTATTTGTCTGCTCTGTACTCACTTGTTCATAGCACTCTCCAACTATCTGTATTCATATTTCTTCGTTTTTAACATGTATCGTCGGCAAGTAGTCAGTCTGTACGATCTTTAATACGAAATGTATGAATACGGAAATGGCGACACATTTGACGTACCTAAAAGAATAATGGATATTTATCAATTTATAGTAACAGAATATAAAATTTGTTATTTAAAATAATAAAAGAAATCTTACCACACATGTCCCATAATGAATATGTGCTAATAAAGCTATAATAGCAACAATATATGTAAATACCAGATCTATGCTAGGCAAGATGAATGAGAAAAAAGTTGCAATTGCTATAGGTAGTAATATCCATGATAACAGCTCACATTTGATATTGCTCATTTGTGAAACAATTAAACGGCACTATAAATTTTAAAGAATATTAGTTTTTAGTACCCATATAATTTTATTTCAATTATTTGATGAAATATCTTACACATATGTTTGAAAAAATAGTTCCAATCACTAAAAAAATTATTCTGGGATCTTTCTCTATGATATTACTAGGCGAATGTACTACCCAAATTGTTGAAATCGTGAAAAGTATTGCTAAAGGCAATAGAGGTCTTATGGCGTCCAGGAATGTTCGCATTTTACCAGTCTTGTCCCTATATGATCTGAAAATTAATAGAGAAATACTTTTTGTTAACCAAAAATCAATAACAAATAATGATTAGTTAAATTCTATTGCACTAACTTATATATATTCCAGAGAACCACTGGCAAACTAAATACAATTGCAGTGACATAAAGTAATATTTCAAACATTACTCCTACTGATATACCACCAGGAAATACAATTTTCCAGACTCTATGCCCGCCTATACTAGATATAATAAAAGCGATTATAGTACCCTAAAAATTAAAAAAATAAATTATATGAATTATGATTACTTACACTTATCAATAATTCAGTAAATATTTTAGATGAATAGAAACTTACTACCATAGATAGGTCATATCCCCAAGGAAGAAACAGTACACCTGTATTATATTTCTCCCAATGAGTCAAATAGAAAGTGATAAATACATTCCACAAAATGAAATACATTCTTAATGGAGATACACTGTGTTCTGTCCGACCAAATACAGAAAACATACAAACACTTATAAGCATTGTTGTCCAACTATCCAAACCATGATCAAACAGCTCTCCTAAAGGGCCGGATGTTTGTGTACGTCGTGCTTGCTTACCATCAATACCATCTACAAACAAGTATTGCATTAAATATAACGATTTTATAAATTAATAAGCGATATTAAGATTATACTTACCAAGAGTGTATGCCATAAATACATTGAATGCACCTAAGGCAAAAACCCACCTTGGTATAGGAGGATACTGTGGTTTATCATCACTTGATGCATACAAATAATAATCATAAAATGCAAATAATGTAAAGTTGAAAACAGTAAAAAGAAATCCAAAAAAAGTTAATACATTTGGAGCAACCCACTTTGGACAATACTAAAAATAGAATTTTAAATAAATAGAGTAGAATAAAAAAATAATTAATAACATTCGATTTTGATAGAAAACATACCTGAACTACTTTGTTCCAAAATGGATGCATTATATATACACTCAGAGGGTTTGTATCCACTGAGCTATACTGAAATTATAAATTGATGAAAAATTTGCTAATAAAATATCTATACTACCTTCAAGCTTTCTCTTATGGTTATATTATAACTCTTAAATAACAAACTGAATATTTCTCTTAAATTAAGAATACTGTTCAATGCAAATGTGAACATTATATAACGTACCTCACTTCTTTTTATACTTAAAAGACATTTTATTTATATGTTTGTCATCAAACATTCATTTATTGAAATTAATAGCTGCATTATTAGAAGAAAGAAATGTCTATTACTAAAATTAAATTAAATCATATCCAGTAATACAATATTTTTTAATAATCAATATATAAATTTTCAAAATATAACAAAAGCAATTTAAAAATTTGATTCTTCAAAGAAATCTAAAGATCTTTTCACTGTAAGATCCTGTAGTTCAAGATATAACCAATAAAGATACTCAAGAATATACAATATTCTAAGAGAAATGAAAACAATTATGAGGCTAGAAAACTTACTTTATAACTTTCGAAGCCGTTGAGGTGTTGCTCAGTGAGATACTTAATTTCAAGACTTAATTTCTGGCACATGGTTATGTGAAGGATGCGTCTAACCGCTACGTTAAAAAAGGATGTGCTTCAATTCCTCTTCCTAACCAATCGACCTTGTTTTACTCCATCGAAATGCCAGTCACATTCCCCGGAATACGCATTTAGGTTAGAATTATACACATGAAGAAAATCGTATTTCTACCTAGCACGTGTCATTCATACCGTGGCTCGCTTGAACATTACTCCATAGTAACATTGACTTATGTAAATGACGACATCTTAAAACAATTCTCTCCGGTAAGCAAAATAGCAAAGGCTAATTCTCACGTGTGCGAAAACTGTAATTACTTAAATGAAATCGAAAGGGAAAAGAAATACTACGCCAATAAAACTGTATTGATAGCTATATATTTTTAAATTGGCTCAAATATCATGTCCTTGAAAGATAATAAGATCGCATTTTATAGTGATTGAAGATAATGAATTTACAAAGGTCAGAGTTGAATTATCATTCGTATTGTTTCACTGTGTAAATAAATATTTATTGTATGGAATAAGATGTAAAACTATATTAAACTAATTGTAATTCAATTACAACTATTAAAGTTTGAATTGTAGTATTCAAAACAGGTTATATAAATGACAAGACCAATTAAGTCTTTCCTATAGTTTTCCATTTACGTAATAAATTACACTGTAATTAACAATAAAATCATTATCGTTTCTTTTTTACTTACAGGTAAAACATTTGTTATCCTATATCAGTCTAATAGTAGTTAAATCAAATTGCTTGGAATATATTTATTTCCTTTTTGTACAATAAATATTTCTTCAGTATAATATTGCATATGTTATATATCCTATGTATTCTAACAAGGAAAGTACAAGCCCTTCGGCTCACCGATTTAGTTGACACTTTGCAGATTTGTAGATATCATCCGGCAGCTTCAGAAAATATATCATTATAGCCGAAACTACTCAATAGTTTCTGAAATGCTTGCGATTAAAGTTTTATTACGCCAAGAACAATATATTTATTTCCTTTATGTCTAAATTCAAGTTGTAGCGTAACGGCAACGATCGCGAATTACTATACTGGAGGAGCCGAGGTTCGGTTCCTGTCCATAGTTTTTTTTCAATATATTTTTTATCTTGTATTCATTTTTCGTCTATGAAAACATTCTAAATATACAATTATAAATAAAATTTCTTAATAAAATAATTTATTTTTTACGCTTTCTTATGCTGGTGTATATTTATTACAAAATAATAAGAATATT